CTGCCGCCAGCCGCGCAGCTCTAAGTGCAGTCCTGCGGCAGGAGGGTTTGGAGGCAGAGGCAGTCACCGCTGGCACGGTAACATGCGATTTCACTATACGCGATTTTCGCCTATATGTGCTGCCTTTAGAACGTAACCCCTGCGTAAGATGCGACATGCCTGTGGCAACAATAATCACATTCAACCCAAACTACAGGGGCAATTTAGAGATGAATGGTAACTTTGTACATGTAACATTCTGGACTTTGAGTTTACATCTCCTCCAAAAATCAGCACTGTCAGTAACACCAGCCCCTTAATATCACAATCATTACTGATTTAGCACTAATTCAGAGGCAAGAATGATACCTCCAAAACACAGCTATATCCTGTAGCACCTGTATCCTGAGTTAATGTTCCTACATTTCTTGAAGTTCTGCGTTAAGAGCTGTCTTTATTGTTCTTTAAAACCATCTCTTGAAATCAAGAGCAAACTGTTGATGGGCCATATCTACACCAAAAGTCCTTTAATAATATAGAAATAGCAGTACAGTATACCAACAAATGACTCCTAAAGCAGATGCAACTGTAATAGCAAGCCATCCTCCCACTTTGTGCCCAATTCTCAACTGCCCCAGCCCCTACTTATGTAAGATGTTAAGTAAAAGTATGAAATTACATAAAGAGTCATCTATGCAGTGTACCAGAAAGCACTAACTCTACCTGCAGAACAGCAGAATCTTCATAAAGGTCTGGAATGTCCTGAAGCAAGCTTCTCCATATTTTAATGTCATTCAGAATAACACTCATTCCTCCACCTGTTAGAGGGTGCCTCATATTATATGCATCTCCCAAAAGGAGAACACCTAGGTGTGAAAGAAGACTACGGTCAAACTACACATGCCTAGTACATCACTTTAGAAATAAAAGACCTTTATTTCTCTTTTAAAATGTGCTGAGGCTCAGCCAAGAAGACATCCTACCATGAAAACCACCTGAATAACTCAGTATCAAAGTGGCTTCAAGAATTAATAATTGTTAATTAATTGTATTATTTATCGTTTTAATACAAGTATAATAATACTACAATGAATTATAATTACATTAGAATTAAATCATAAACTCTAGGTGTTGTGAACCCTCTGAGTTGCTGATATCACAGATGTAAATTAAACAAACTACCGCGTGAAACTGAATTTAAATAATGCATGGTTAAAGTTTAACCTGAGAGGTGTTGACCAGCTTAAAAATGTGTCAAAAGGCATCACATCTGAAAATTTTAAACCTCAAGCACTATGTTCTAATAACATATAAGCCTCTCAAAATTATAGTGTTTAGAGGGTTATTCTTAAAACTTTTCTTGAAAATTTATTTTGAGAAATAGGAGCATGAGATTTCAGCCCAATTAACCTGTTAAAGCCCCCCTCCCCACCCCCAAAAAGGAAACGAGGCACATCGACATGTTAATTAAAGCGCTTTTGCTAATATGCATTAAATTTAGGAACTCCATTGTGAGGTACCAAAAAAAGGCACATTAGCCTATTCTAATGCACATGAGGCCTGTGCGAATAGGGAACTATTCGATTTGGGTTTGGATTCAGACGATTTGGATGCTAGCAATTCAATTTGGAGCTCCAAATTGGTTTCCCACTTCGAGTCGGCTGAATCAACTCCGACGCTTCGGAGCCGATTCGGAGATTCAGCCATAGGGTATAATGGGGAATCAATTAAACATCTATAACGTTGTTTTTTGTCCAAGTTGGATGAAACTTGCAGGGGTGGTAGCCTCTGCTGAGAGCATGAAGCCTGCCAAGGTTCAAGGAGATAGGTGCAGGAGTTTGGGGGAAACTGCACCCCAAATTCTTGAAAGCAAAACTCATGTCACACGTGTGTGTTAAGCCACAGCGGGGTCAAAACTGCAGGGATGGTAGCCCCTGGTGCAGCAAAACCCCCAGTTTTTCTTTTTTTTTTTCTTTTAAAATGCATTCCCTCCCCTTCCCCAACCATTTCTGAATTTTTTTTTCCCTCTCTATTCCCTATAGATAAGTATAAGTGAGCTAAGACATAGGATAAGCTTCAGCATTTTATTTTGGTAG